CCCCTCCTTCTGAGGGAGTTCCCCTTTGGCGGCCCAGCCTTTGCACCGTGGAATAGAGGCAAGGCAGCACCAATGTGAGGACCACATGCACCCAACACACACCGGCTCCAGATGACTCAGTGAGAGCCTGAGAACTGGCTCTCTGGTGTGTCCCACCCTGGAACGTGCCAGGCCTTGGGAAAAGAGTAGGATCCATGGGCACTGCTTACCATGCCAGCATGCAACATTTACTGAGCACAGGTGTGAGACAAGGCCCTTATCCCATGTTGTTATCTAACCCTCACTCTGAGGGAGGCAGGAGCTCAGCCACTAACCAAAGGTTGGAAGTTCAAGTCCACCCAAAAGTGCCTTGGAAGAAAATCTGGTAATCTACTTCCCAAAAATCAGCCACTGAAAATTCTGTGGAGCTCAATTCTATTCTGACACGCATGGGGTCACCCTAAGTCAGAGCTGACTCCACAGTAACTGGTTTGGTTTTACTGATTTTCTTAGTGACGTAGGTATCTCTTCAAAAGATGAAAACTCAAAGCCCAAAGTCACACACTGATGCAGGGCAAAAACCCAGTCTCCCAACTCCAGGCAGTATTCTTTCCATCATGGTCACACTCACCTCCCTCCCTAAGAGGTACAGAAGCGCTCTATGCATCTTTGCAGCCATGAGGACCAGAGGTGAGATTAGCCCACCATTCAAAAGGGCTCCCTAATCCTCCACTACTGGGCATCCCTCGGTGCCCTTGTTTCACCTTGAAGGGGAATAGTTGATAAAAGGGATTTGAAAAGAGAGCATCCTCCTCAGATTGTCGTAGTCAGATTCCCAGAAGGAAGGAGGCAACCCAGGAGAGACTCTGCATCCCAGGTGCTGCACTCACCTCCTTACTGGGTGCCTCAGTTTCTCTCTCCTGCACTAACGCCCTCTCTGTGTGGCAGGGTAGGGGGTATCTGGAATCTGTCAGCCAAGGTTGGATCCTAGTAGGTAGCTAGGATGCTGGGTCCCCAGGAGAGAAAGGGGCTGGAGAGGGAAAAGACCCTGACTTCTCCTCAAGCCAGTGCTGTACTCTATACTCAAGCACAAAGAGGGGTGGGCCTGCTTCCCTGGTTGCTTGTTTCTCTCCTCCATCCTTACTACCTAAGATTTGTCCCAACAGAGATGCAGTGATGGCCATTCACACAAGTGCCCCTAGCTGGTGAGAGGTGCCTCCCAGGCTGAGATGGCAGCAATTCCTTTTAACCAGGTCAAAGGTGAGGTGCAGAAGGGGTGGTGGGGCAGAGGGGCCCCCTTGGGAAGCTGTTCTTTCCATACACTGGCTCTAGGTTGCAAAAACTGATGAGGACGAAGAGGCGCTATGAAGGGCAAGGAAGGTGGAGATTGGGGACCCATTGTCACCCCTATCCCATTCCTGTGATATCTAGGACGTTCAGTTCTCCGGATAGCTTGTCCAAGAAATCTGGGGATCCCAGGCCCACAGGCTCCCTTCTTCATCAGTGCTTGTTAGGTACTCTGGCACTTTTACCAGCATTTTGTATATTCTAACCCATTTCACCCTTAAAAAGCCAAATAAAGTACGTTATCCTCAGTTTACAGATAAGGCAAGGGAGAGGTTAAATCTCTTGCCCAAGGTTATATAGCTAGTAAGTGGCAGAGTTAGGATTCAAACCTAGGCAGTCCAGCACCCCCAAAATCCCTGCTCTTAACCATTATACCATATTACCTGATAGAGAAGCAACACCTTGCTCTTTCATCCAGCTATCAGCTATGTGCTCCTTGTGGCCAAGCCTCAGTTTCCCCTTCTGGCACATGGATTCCTCATGGCATAATCACTACCAGTGATTCCTCATCCAAGTGGGTCAGGGACACAGGGGAGAATGGCCAGACATGTGTGGTGCCCCCTGAGCTCTGGGCTTCCTGCCCCAGGGCCCCCTGCTCAAATTATCTCTCTGGAAGAATTACCCTTCCTGCCCACCCTGGGCTGGTGCCTGCACTCATGGGGGAGTGGACCTCACTCAGTCCTGCACATGGTCTGGCCAGCTAAGGCTGGGCAAAGAGGACACAGCTGTTGGGCATCTTCGAGGTGGGTCTCAGCTGCCAGGGTTGTGGAGAAAAGCCATTGTGAGTCTTGTCATGGACCCAGCTCAGCCAGGTCATGCCAACTCCCACCACTGCCCATGAGGGTCACTGTTTTCTAGTGTGGATTGGTGTGGGAAGAGCCTCCTTACTGGTTTGTTTGAGAGCTAGCTAGGTGCAGCCCATATACCAAGGGCTTCCACAGAGTTGGTGTCCCTTGGCTAAGCCCCCCAGCTTGAAGGGTCAACGTGGGCAGTAGCTGACCTCCCTCCTTCCCCATTCCCAGCCCCTAAAACTGGCTGGCCACAGCTGCAGCATTAAGGAAGTGCAGGATGTCCTGAGCAGCCAGCTGAGCCCCCCACCCCCCACCCCAACCTCTCATTGACCCCAGAGGCAGGGCAGGCGGGGCGCAGGGGTGGAGTTTTCAGTATTAACAACTGGAAAAGTATGGAGAACATCATCGCCAATTACCAGCTCAGAGAGGTGGCTGGGGCAGAAAGAGACAAGGGCAAGGTAGTGACAGGGTGACAGAGTTCCAGACTGGCGGAGGAAGAGAGAGAAGGAGAATCAGACATGGCAAGACAGGGCAACAGAGAGACAGAGAGAAATTCCAAGTCAAAAATACATATCACTCACCCAGACACTCACCAGCATAAGGCCTCCTAAGGAACGCTTCCAAGTTTGGATAGGAGGGCCGAGGTGGGAAAAGGGGCCTGATTCATGGTGGGAGGCAGGAACTCAGCTGGGGGCAAGTGAGAGTTCCCAGGAAAGGCCCAGGCAAATATCCACAGTAGGGGCAGCTAGATCCCCCAGTTTGCTTTTAGGGTGGGGATGACAGCCACTCCCCAGGAGCCAGCTCTCCCCAAGACACTCTCTCCCCCAGCAGTCAGGACAATCCCAGCTGCTAGAAGTCACTGGGCACTGCTTCAGGCCCAAGACTCGGCCCTCTGGAACCCCCCTGACCCCACTCTCTTTCCTCTTGTTTCTCAGTCCTTCCAAAGAAAAAAAAAGAGAAAGAGAGTCCATTCCCTCTAGACTCAGTGGCTGATCCTAGAGGAAGAAAGGAAGAAGACATAGGAGGAAGCTTGAAGGGGAAAAGGCCTGTAACTATGCATCTAGGTGTGTGTCTGACACTGCATGGGCTACAGTGTGTGTACTTGGGGTTGTCCAGCCACAACTGCCAGTGTACACCTGAGACCGTGTGGACCCGGCCTTGTGACTGAGCTCTGCACCTGGGTTGGTGGGATGGTGTGCAAAATAGTACACCTGTGTCTGCAGTTCTCACAATCAATTAACATATATTTACAGGAATTCTTGTGCTAGGCTCTGGGTGGGATCCAGAGCTGTACAAGTGATTCCCCCAGGTGTCTAAGAGCCAGTAGGGGGGTATGACCAGCAATAGAGACTGAGCACATGTTATGCTGAATGTCTGCCTTGCATCATTACGCAGGAAAGCCTTTTCACATGGACGGATTTAATTTTCTTGGGAGCAGGGTTTTGTTATATACAGAACCTCAGAGCCACACAGCAAGAATCCAGGAAAATACTTGTTGCTAAGTTGTGTATACATGTGTTGATGTGTAACTGCGTTTCTCTTTGACTGAGTGACAGCGGCTGTCACGGCAGAAGATGAAGTCTGTGTGACTGGGCTCATGCGTGCGAGCACGTGTGTGCCTGTGAGAGTGACAGGGTCTTTTGTAATTGTGTGGCTGTGTGCAATTGCTCTGTGTGCATGCATGTGTGTGCTAGTGACTTTTTCTGTGTGGGTGACAGTGACTCCTCCTTGCCCCTGTGTGTTACAGCATCTCTGTGTGACCCTGTGCGTGGGTATGTTCATGGTCGCTCTGTGTGCTCGTGGTCTCCCGTGGGTGTGTCCTGCCCGTCTGAGCTCCACAGTGCAGCAGCAGCCTGCCTCTTCCCTTGTCCCTATGTGGGTGTGTCCAGCAGCTCCTGTCCTTGAGTCTGCCTGGGTGTCCCTGGGTATGCATGTGGCTGTCTGTGTGGGCATATCTCTGTGTCTGCATGTCACATTCACTTCCCCCCTCATCTAGGACAACAGCCCCCTTCATCCCTCCCCCTCCCGCCAACACTGGCTTTCCTCCTGTGCCCCCACCCCACCCACTGAGCAGGTGGCTCTCTCCATTTTTCCCCTACCGTCTGCCCCTCCCAGGCCTCTCTTCCACACTGGACAAGGAGGCTCCAGATGAAGGAACACCAGAGACACGTTGCAAGAAGGGGAAACACACACAACACAGGTCCCTTCCTCCCTCTCTCTCCATAGCTGCAACTCTCTTAATTAGAGACCCTCAAGCACAACCGTCAGTCACACACTTTTCCCCCTCAGACGCGTTTTTTGCAATTAGGAGTGTTGCAACCAGAGAACCATGCTGAATTGGAGAGCCGGGTGGAGTGGGAGGGGGAACTTCCCTCTCCCCAGGCCCGTGCAAGACCACCCCCCCACCACACACTGCACTCCTGCTGCCCTCCGCAGCCAGAGGTAGCTTTGCAAAGGCCACAGGGCCTCAGAGGATAGGGGTGGGGGCTGGGGGGGCAGGCCTCCGGCGCACCGTAAACAAACCGCGGCGCGGCGGGCGGGGGAGCTCCGGCCGGCCGGCAGCGGGTCCCGGCCCGGGAATGCGCAGCAGACTGGCCGGACAGAGGCCGGGCGGGCCCTCGAGGGGGAGGCCCGGACGCCATCTCCACTGACGAACCCCGGAGGCCCACCGAGCTCCTCGCAATATCTCCCTTCCCCAGGGCGTAAGTTGCAAGCGCCAGGGCTGTGACAGGGTCAGTGGGGCGCCAGGGGAGGCGGAGGCTGGCAAACGGACCCCCTGGGCGCCCCCGGCCCGCCGGGGAGCTGGCCTTAGAGCCCCGCGGCTTTGCATAATCAATCGCGATGCATTTGCATATTAATGCCCCCTCGCTCCCTCCCCCTTACCTCGGCGTGGCGCGCTGGACCAGGCTGGGCTGCGACGCTGGGGTCTCAGCGCCCCGAGCCGGGGGCGACCATGGGGGGCCGGTGGGGCCCGGCCGCCCGCCTCCTGCGCCCGGGTGTGAGTGCGAGTGAGCGCGGGGGGGCGGGGG